GAGAAACCGATAATAATAACGAATATTGCTACTTTACGGATTGTTGTGCATCCACATGTTTTCGTAGTTATTTAGCAAATAATTTTTAATTGGTAATTAATTATGTATTTCTAAAAATAACGTTGAGAGTAGAAAGCAATTATAGAGGAAGAGAAGAAGTAAATAACAAAGTAATAGGTTTTGGAAGTAAAACTTCGAGATTGGTTTTTCATGCAGTACCGAGTTTATTTAGAGAACAATAAAAAGTGAATTAACACACAATCTGTATGAGAAGCGGCGTGTGAGAAGTTTTATTTACGGATCACTCTGTATACGCGCGTCTTTGCCGTCGGGCCGGGACAAGAGAAGATGAGGATTCCGTAGTGGAGGCTGACGCTCGGGGACCGCCGAGCTAGTCGTTTCGCATCCTAGAAGCTTCACCCATCCCACCGCTTGCTTCCGGCTAAGCCTGGCTGCCATCGCGTTCCAGGCAACTTGAAGCCACTCGTAGTTCTGTTTGTGTTTGCTAATTGTGAATTGTCTACTTCTTGCCTGGTGGCTTGCGTGCATGCAGGCAGTGCCGCGAGAACAAGGAAAGCGAACGTTCCGCGGATCTGCGAATAGCAAAGACAATAACAGCAGAGAGAGAGAAGGAGAAGAGAGAGAGAGAGAGAGAGAGAGAGAGGGAGAGAAAGAGAGAAATCGTCAAGCTGAAAGATGTAAAACACAAGCCGCTTGCGCGAGACGAAGTTGAGTTTCCGGCTGAAAGCACATCGCCTACGAAATGCTCGGACTGAGGAAAATTCCCTCTCTCCCTCTTCCCCTGACGGAGCATCCCTATCTGCTTGGGCTAACTCCATCTCTGTATCCATCCTTCTGCTCGCCGTCGACCACTCTCCACCAGTGCCGCGCTTTTATGCTGTAGACACTCGAGTTTACCTTACTACTAGTCGGCGGTGCTTGCACGAGCACCACCCGTCAAGAGACACCTGCGAATGAAATGGTACCAATTCTTTTAGTTCAGTCCTTTGTACCTCGATTGCCGACGGTTCAAGGCAATCGCCGGGCGCGTTCCGTTATTAATAATCAGCAGTGAAACTGTTTCGCTGTCGAGTTATCTGTTATCGATTATTTGTTCATCAGGAACGAGTAGTTACTTGAAATCCTGATAAATAATAAAGCTACTTAAAATACACGTCGCAATGAACTAAAATAAATCTCAGTGTTTAATAGAAAAAAAAAAAAGAATCATCGAACGCGATGGAAAAGAATTTTATATAAATAAAAAAGTCAAATTGTTCACTTATAAAAAATTTGTGACTTATTCGAATGATTTAACCATCGTTGCTCTTGATCGTCACGCGTAACTCGTGACGCATTTAATGAAATGTTGGCACTGGCCGGGACGGCGACGGATCGTTTCAGCTCGCGATAATGAGACAACTTTCAATGTTGGTGACGTGATATCACCCCGCGCGAAATAAATCGGCGTCGCAGCCCTCCGTATTGTGAGGAAAACGCGCCCCTCCGTTCTCGAATGCCGTTGTCCGGGGTGCGCGCGGACGACCTGTTCGAAATACAACCCCATCTCTCTAGAGACAGGGGACATATTGTTTGGTTCAGTAATTCCTCGCGTTATTTCCCGTGTTTGCTTTTTATCATTGTAAACTGATATATTGTCCGGGATAACTCCCCCTCGTGGACGAAGAAACTTACGGACGGTAGACGGGAGTAGACAGAGAGGAGGCGCGCGTAATCGTTCGGACCAGCGACGCGCGGAGTTTCACTCCACTAAGTGATGGAAACGAGATTATTCGGGCTATACAACAGTCTTCTTTATTTTTAGACGCGGGCTCGTTCAGCAATGAAACCATCACACACCACATACACACACACACACACACACACACCACATACACACACATCACGCTCGGCTCGCGCTTGCATTACACGCGCGAATGTATACGCGTCCGGAAATGAATTTGATAGAGTGACAGCCGCGATTGTCATAGTGATCTGTTTTTTACTCGGGTTGCGTGTATTTTTGGTCGTCGGGTGTTGGTTTTCGTTGGCGTAAAAAACTTCGGATTTTTATTACGGATAAAAAAAAGTTCGTCTATCAGTGCGCGACATAAAGCAGTGTGTATACAGAGAGAGAGAGAGAGAGAGAGAGATGTGCGAAAATTATTAAACTAAAAAGAAAATTGACAAATAATCACTTTTTCGTAATTAGGATGGAGAATTAAGAAAAGGAATGAATCATTAAAAATTCCCACTTTTATACATCCAATAAAAACGATCGTTACACATCGATCACGTCATTACTCGATTTTAATATTTATATTTTAAAAATAAATGGAAAAAAGAGATATTGAAAAATAAAAAGAACGGGTATAAATATCCTTTGTCACGTTCACAAGTCGTCGATAGAAAGTTTTCCTTGTCTCCTGTCGCTGTCCGTCATCATTGAGATATTGTATTGACATGCACTTCGCGTCAATGTTTGAACCTGAATTCTCTTGAGTGTCGCGTAAGTGCTTGTGTGCGACAGTGTGATATACACGCTCGTCATATGGCGTGACACGTGCGCCAAACGTTAAACTCGTAGCACGGGCAAACAACGAATTAAGTCTTACCGATCGCTCACACTTCAAACCCGAATCAAATACTCTGTAGTTTGAAATTTGTCAATAGAGAAACGCTGCGACGCGAGACAGAATTGCGAAGCTAATAACGAATGAGTTTGTGAGATACCGAGCGCCCGAATGTAATAAACAATATAATTTTCTATTATAGAAATCGTACACACAATAAATATATCTGGAGAAACGTAAACAGAATATTATTTACGTTCCGCACGCGCATATATATTTTTTTTTTAATAAATAAATTACTACACATATTCATAAATAACGCTACTATCGCACCAAGCAGATCGCGAAGCAGTCATTCAACGTCGCCTTCAAGTCCATTTAGAACTTGGGGTGTACATTCGAAACTCTCAGCTCTCTACACAGTAATGAAGACGGGACCTATCGGTGGAACGTAATTTGTGTTCCTCTTCAGTTAATTACGGGAGGGAAAGCATTGATACCGATGGCAAAGACGAGGCGAGGAGAGCGAGGTGGTGTTTAAAAGTCAACGGTGTAATCCGAAGAAAGCCGTCGAGGCACATCGCGGTGTCGCTCCGGTGAAGTGGGTGTAAGTGAGCGCTGGTTGTAGTTGGCCACTACCGAGTAGGCGATAGGGGTGTGGTTGTACACCCGCACACACCGGAAAAGTCGTCGTCGTCGTCGTCGTCGTCTTAGTAAAAGCTGGCATGATCTAGCACGGAAGACAGGGGAGTCTGTCTTTATCAGCCGACCGGGCAAATCGCACAACCGTCGAACCACGTAGCGCTACCCCCGTTTCACCCTCGTGTCTCTTCCTTCTTCTACTCTCTCTCTCTTCATTCCTCCTCTCGCCGAGAGCTACGCCACCGGCGAGAACACCCGATTGGCGTTTCTCTCTCAAATGAGGAAGGACATCACGCACCCCTATTGGCTCCCGGCAACTCCATACTCGGTATTCATTCGCCACCCCGAGACCGAAATCCCGCATTTCCCCCTGTTTCCTCGCCCGTACCCTCTCCCGTTTGCGTTCTTCTCGTTCGACACCCCTTGTGAGCGACCGATGCGACCTCACTCCTCTCTCACGAGGCGCCTTCACAATGCATTTCACTGCCGACGCTTTCACCTTTTACGCTGAATATTTCTAAATAAATACTTTTTTAATAAGCGTCACGCAGCGTCCGCGCGGGCGCGAACAGAGCGACGCACGGCGCCATTTTGCATATGTTTTTGCGCACTGGAGAAAAAGTGGATTTTTACGGTCGTCGGAGTGTCAGCCATTATTCTCATTTCGATATTTGCTGCATTTTATTAAACACAATTTTTGTCAATGCCAAGAATTTCCGGTAAGTGAACTACTTGTGATAATTGAAATTGCAAAGAGTGAAAATTTCAATTTTTTAATATTATTATCTAAACAAAACCTATTTATTTATAAAGACGTAGAAAAAGTTTACACTTATGCTTAGGATACTTCTGTTATAAAAAATAATGAAAAAATTTAAATATCAAAACAATTTTGTGTTTAAAAATGTTGTAAATTTAAACAAATGCTCTTTGTTTTTAATTAACGAGTTTTTTTCTCTTTTAAAAGTACTATAAGATATTTGAATTTAAACGAATTAAGCTAATTGATTCGATAAAATATCGCAAATTGAGATTAAATCTGTTCATAAAATCATTCTTCGAGAAAATGAAAGATGACAAATCATTATCATCACCTTTCCGATTTTTACACCGCCGGTGTAAAAATCAAGATAAGATAATCAGTTCCAATCTTTTGACCTGCGATGAGAGTACGTGAAAGCATCACCTGATATATCTGGTTCGAGGTGTAGCATGCAGATCGACCGGTGACCGACACACGGGGCGGCGAAGAACGAATTGGGCCAAGAAAGAATCGACTCCTCGGCTCCGAAAGAGGATCGATACAAAGTGTCGAACTCAAGAAAACCTCGTTCTCCTCGGCTTTTGCCGGTACTTCTGACATTGCCGATCGCGCCTCGCCCTTCCTGACCGCGAGTTCGAGCGGTTCGCGCGGCAGACAGAAACGAAATAGCCGCGCCGTGACATCCCGATGGATGAAAGCAGAAGAGAGAACGAGAGAGAGAGAGAGGGGGAGAATACGAGAGAAAGAGAGGGGAGAGAAGATAAGAGTGAGAGAGAGAGAGAGAGAGGGAACGGCGGGACGGGCGTAAATGCGGGGATGAAGAATTCTACACAGAGTGACGCGGGTCGAGCAACGAGGACGAGCCATGGAGTTGCTCCGCCCATCGCACCGCCCACCATCGGTGGTGGTTGTTGCTAACCTTCTTCCACTCCCTTCACCCTTCACCCTTCGCGGTGCAACTGGAACCTTCTCACGGCTCGCCAGCAAGCAGCACACACACGTCATCTTCACCAGCGGCGAACAGCGCCTTCAACCGTCGCCCCGGGGTCGCGATCCACATCCACCGACCCATCCGTCGGAAATCGAAACTCGTCGATTCAACGGATATCAACTTTGTTTTCCCCGGAAGTGAATCGTGTATCTCGAGTGTGACGTCGGCAAGAAATCAGTGAATCAATTAGATCGCGTTTTGAGATAAAGAATTTTCAATTGGAACTTATCGAGTTTTGGGACGGGAAAGGTCGGAGAAAATGTCAGGCTGGAGGTCTAACATTTGAAGAGAAAATTTTAACGCGAGACGATGAATAATACACTGTTTAACGTCACTCGCTCTTTCGATTCGAGAACGATGTTTTAAGTCTCGCTCCGACGCGATTCTTCTGAGAAAAATATAAAATTTGCATCCCCCTTATGACGATGACGAGTTTAAAACGGAAGAAATGAAACGAAAAAATCGATTCGACAACGAGAGACGTTAATGTCAATAAATTTTAAACATGGAATGTGAATCTACCGGAGGATGGAAACCAAGGATCACGGTGATGCCGACGAACAGTCAGAATAACGTCAATTTGATTGTTGAATCAATCGCTGTGTTGATTCGGAGACTCCATTTTCGCGTCGAAAATGAGGGACTCTTAAACTTGGTGACATCAATTCTTATCGCGATGTGTTTAGTCTGAAGTTACTAGCGACTTGGTACTAAAGACAGTATGAAGAATACGTACTGATAAGAAAGAACTTTTATTTGTATAAAAAAAAAAAGTCGAATTACATTTGATGGACATTCGACTGAGCGGGAGTCAGTGAAAGTGAGTTTCGGTCGGCAGGAAGAGAGTCGTGTTGTGAGCTGTGTTGCCGGAGTCGATAAGACGATAAAAATCTCTACGATTCCTGTAAGTATTATAATAATATCGAAAAGTAAAAGCTTGTATATTTAACTATTTCGTTGCATTAAAATTGATTGATAAATGTAAAATAAATAACGAGAATCTGTACACGTCAGTATCTCAACGAATTATTTTGCAGTTGTTTCTCTCTCTTGCAACATATGTTATACAGAAATATGCGATAGATAAGATTTGCAAGATGTTATTATTACAGTTCTTGTTTCGCAAACTTTTGCCCCTCCTCCACTCCAAAAAAATAAAATAAAATAAAATAAAATAAAATAACTTCTCTCCCACACAGCAGATTTTATATGTATAATGTGAGAAATAAAATTATAACACACGTACATATAAATAGAACAAAATTGCAATTTTAGGTGACGTGCGTACAAATACAAAAATCTTTGATACAAAACCAATTATGCGTATTAAACATTTTGTCTCTATCATTTAATCTAAGAAAGAAGTTAGTCAATCGAGGAGTATGCTATATAGAATATCAAAGACTTGGTGTAATTAGCCAGATTTCACGGACGGATGAAGCGGAGATATTAACACTCCGGGTTTTTTTGTATCCTGAGAGCTATAAATGTGAATAAAGCGCTCGTTACGTTTCGCGTTACCTCTCTCTAGAGAACGAGATGTTGCGTGCAATCACTAAATGCGTCCGAACACAAAACGCGACCATTTGCGAAGTAAACAACAAAGACACGCGATCGTTGGCTGAATTAGTTGCTTAATAAAAACCGTAAAAGTAGCGTAATTTAATACTTTTTATCGTCGAAGAAATTTTTTTTCGGCACATCCTTGCGTCTTCAGGATTCAAAAAATTATTCGACAAAACTCCTCTCTCTCTCTCTCTCTCCTATTCGAGAAAAACCAAAAAAAAAAAACCAGCTTCTTATCGCGTCTCCGCACTTTCTTATCACGTTCGCGCAATGAACCGTTTCCGATTAGACTCCGATCTCTTGGAGAAAAAGATGCCGAGGGTGAGAACAACGCGATTAACCGCGACAATCGCGGTTGCCCATCTGCGCTGCTGCGCAAACACAGCAATCTGCCACTTCATCTCCGCTACGGTAACTAGTATTTTGCGCGCGCGGTGTATCGCCGATGAAAATATTTTAGCATTTCGAGAGTCATCTAGAGAGAGAGAAAGAGAAAGAGAGAGAGAACCTACCTACTTACCTACACATACACAAATTGCAATGAAAGAACGCAACGATTGTCGCGCAATCCAAAAACAGCAATACGCACGCGATGCTGCGCGCGAACAAACGAAATCGATTCGACGATGTCGAAGCGGTAGCGAGCGCGGTGTGGAGTGCCACTGGAAATTAACGAACAATTAGTTCGGCTTGTTCATGTTTTATAAACACCGGTGCTCGTGCACCGTCGACGTAGCCATTATTTTCGAGGATCCGCGCGTTCCCCGGGCGCGCTCAACCCCCGTCCTACCTACCTACGCGTATTTTACTTGAGAGTATGCCCCGTACTTCGAGCGTGTGTCCAAAGTATCCGGAGCGAGTACTCCATGCCTTTCGAGCACGGGGGAGGGGGGGGGAAGGGAATTTACGGAGGGGTCTTGTAGTGTTTCGTTGCGCTTAAGAGCGCGCGTAGGGTAGAACGCGAGGTAAAGGCGGGCTTTGGTGTTGCCAGCCTCTTCAAATCTCGTGCAAACACTTCGTGAACGATAGTGCGTTCGCCCGGTACCCGGGATTAATATCCCAATAAGGTCTCGCTCGAATCGCGCACGGGCTTCGTTGTTTATTCATTGTATCGCCGAATATACACTTCGTCGCGAAACAAGCCGTCTCGCTGCGCCGCTGTTCTTCTTGGATCAAGAATTAGAAGCCAGATTGCATAATGTGCCGTGGGAAAGAGGGAACAACGCGGGATTCTGTACGTAACTTGAATAAATTATAGTAAACGTTGCTGCGCGCGATGGGGATGTGTGTGCTGAAACATCGTCACTGAACTTCGCGAGCGCACCTGACGAATTTACAGCGGCTGGAGCGGCTGAGCTTTTAAGAGAGCGCGCGATTAACATATTTATCGTGTGTTCCGTAACATTTTGCTCGTCAGTGTCAAAACGAGGGAAACACATCGCGACAAGTAATTGCCGCGGCGCTGAAATACGACCAAGCCGAAAAAGATGGTGTTCACTTTTCATCCGGTCCAGCTTGCCCAATTACGTCCACCTTTATTTTATGTGAATTTTTATTGCGAACCAATAATGTAATATTGTAAGTGAAGTAAAACTTTGAGCTCGCAAGAAATCGCGTTTTAATTATATACGGTCGAGGATTTATTAAATACGCAACTTGCGCAACGTGAGCAGCACGGTCTCTAAAAAGAAATTAAATAATTTAAGAAAAAAATAAATATAAACTTTAATATAAATACTTTTTTTGGGAGACAAATTTTTTCAGAGTCTCTTTGAATGAAAGATGATAATTGTTGAGATAAGTGCTATGCTTATTACGTAATAAATAAAAACTTGTTTAATTTTACCATCGAGCAACCGCATGTATGGTGGAAGCGAGCGCGAGAATGTCCTCTTCGAATTCAATGAAAACCCGCCGCGACTTCCTCTCTCGCTTTATCTTCCCCGTCGTAACTGGAGTCTCGAGCATTATTACGCTGCTTGATTTCGCATCGAGCCAGCTGTCTCCGATTATTCGCTATAGAAATTTCGGGGATTCCAGTTCAAAAGGAGACCCCGACATCCTTCGCTAATATTTGAGGAGAGGCCCTTGCGCAGTCTTGGGTCTTAGCGGACGTATGAGTCTCTGTCGTTGTATAATCATCCTTTTGGGCCTCTTTCTCGACGCATTTCTCAGTTGTGGTGAGCGTAATCGCTGTGTTGCACTTATCAAGTCAATAAAAGCTTTCGCTCATGAACTTAAGTGCACAATAAATTTATTTTATACAAAATTTATTTCATACAAAATTTTTGACGAAAAGATATGTTTCTATAAAGAACTAATTAATATATACGTTAGATAATAAATATATATATATATA